ACATTGTTTTTATAAAAATGCATTATGCTGCACATCTTAGTTTGCCAAAATAAGTATATTTTATGTTTATAATTTTTTTATTATTGTTAGATGTATATTTCTGTATGTATACGCTTTATATTTAGTTTGTGTGTGGTTGGGCTGTCCAACATTGTATTTAGCCCATTACTCTTATTTGTAGCCCTTTTTGTATTATTTGTGGTATTAATATACGTGAGAGGCTAAAGGCCTATTCATGGGAAAATATTCACTGTAACATGGTATCAGGCTATTCTACCCTCTAACCCTAGCTGATCCCTTCTTGTGGTCGTATTCTTCTCACCTTTCACCTATGTTCTGCATCTTCTCTCTTCTCCTTCGTCACAATGATCGTAGAATCTTCTAATCCCAAACCTAGTCCCAACGATAAAATCTACGGGATAACCAATATCAAGTCTTATGTCCTCCTTCTCCTTGATCTCGACCGCTTAAATTATGATTCCTGGAAAGAGCTTTTTAAAACTCACTTCATTGGATACAAAGTATACGGTCATCTTGATGGGTCTGCTAAAATTGAAGATGATCCAGAATGGGAAACAGTGGACAATATTGTAAAACAGTGGCTATATGGAACACTTACTCAATCCGTTCTCTAATTTATTCTCAAACCCAATGCCACTGCAGCAGATGTTTGGAAGACTATTGAAGACCTGTTTCACGAGAACAAAGAAACAAAAGCCATGGAATTAGATGATGAACTACGTTCTATCACCATTGGTGATTCTACAGTATGGAATATTGTACTCGTATCAAGTCCATCTCTGATCTTCTTGCTAATATTGGATCCCCGGTACCTGAAAGAAACCTCGTCATTTATGCCATCAATGGTTTATCTTAGCAATTCACCCATGTCGTCACCACCATTCGACATCAGATGTCCTTTCTCACTTTCCTTGAGATGCGCTCCATGTTAACCCTTGAAGAACAGTCCATGGCAAAAGATCACTCCCGTCACGTTCAAGCCTCACATCAAGACACTACATCTTCACCAACCATTCTCGCCATCGAGCATCAAAATCGACCCCCTCATTCTCGATTTAACACCTCCGGTGGTAGAGGTGGTGGTCGGAATCAGTGTGGCGGCGGCAGGGGAGGTCGGAACAGCGGGAGAGGTGGCGGCAGACAAGGACGCTCCGGAGGGTAGAGGATTCGCTCGCGGTCAAAATTGGGAGGGATATTATCCCTAGATAACGTCGTCGCAGGTTCAAGGTCAACAACAATATCGTGGGTTGCTGCCTTCTCCACCGATCCAACAATTCCCATGGCCCAATAGTGCTTACTCAAATTCTCAACAGCGGCCCAATTCGAATTTAACCCACCAGCAAGCTTTTTTCTCCATGCCTCAGCAACCCAACAGTCAGCCTAACAGCTAGCAATGGTTTCAATACCCGAATAATATGGATCAACCGACCTCTTTACCGCAAACATTTAACACCATGACCCTTCAAGATCCAAATAATACAGATTAGTACATGGACACTGGGGCAACCGCTCATCTTCATGCCAATTCAGGTAGTCTCAAGTCCTTTAAAAATAAGTGCACTAATTCAAATATATCAGTTTTAGTCGGAAACAGGTCTCGGATTCCGGTCACCAAAATTGCTCACTCTACTCTTGCTTTAAACCCTTATCGCACCCTTATTTAAAAAAATGTTCTTGTCACTCCCCAAATTATTAAAAATCTTGTTTCTGTTCGTCAATTTACTCGTGATAATAAATGTTCTATAGAATTTGATGAGTTTGGTTTTTCTGTGAAGGATTTTCTCACCAAACGCACCCTCCTTCGATGTGATAGCACCGGAGATCTTTACCCAGTCACCAAACCGAGTCCTCAAGTCTTTCTCTGTCTTAGCTCATCATTGTGGCATCAAAGACTCGGTCATCCTAGTCAACCTGTTCTAAAACAATTAATTTCTAGCAATTCCATTTCATGTAATAAAAATGATTCATCATTTCTTTGTCATGCGTGTCAACTTGGCAAGCATACTCGTTTATCTTTCTCGTTATCTAAAACTCATCCTTTATTTCCTTTTCAAGTTATTCATTCGGATGTATGGACTTCACCATTGCAAAGTCATAGTGGAATAAAATATTATTCCATTTTTCTTGACCAATTTTCTCATTTTGTATGGGTGTACCCTCTTAGATTGAAATCGAATGTGTTCTCCAAATTTCTTCATTTTCGTGCTTATGTCAAAAATCAATTTAACACCGATATCCAAACATTTCAATGTGACAACGGAAAAGAATACAATAACTCTCTCTTTCATCAACTTTGTGACACCAATGGCATACACATTCAGTTCTCCTGTCCATATACTTCCTAACAAAATGGGAAATCTGAGCTTATGATTCGTACTTTAAAGAATATGATACGTACACTTCTTTTCCAAGCTCATCTACCCCCCACATATTGGGTGGAAGCTCTCCATATGTCCGCTCATCTTATGAATATCCTTCCATCCACATCTCTCCACAATGACACTCCATTTCACAAACTCTTCAACAAACATCCGTCCTACTCTCATCTTCGCGTGTCCGGGTGCCTGTGCTATCTTCACCTTAATACAATCAATAAACTTGAGCATTGATCGGTCCCATGTATCTTTCTCAGGGTATCCCTATAATCACAAAGGTTTCCGTTGTCTCTATCTTCATTCTAAACAAATAATCATCTCGATACATGTCACCTTTGATGAAACAATTTTTCCTTTCGGCTCAATGACCCCGGACCATCCCCCTACTTATGATTTTCTTAATATATCTGACTCCCGCAATTGCTTTAATGATCCCACCATCACTTCCCATTCTCCTTCCTCTTCCCCTTTTCCGTCTCCCGTCAGCGACACCTCCACCAACAACGCAACTGTTTCTGTCGACCACAACATTCCTATCGACGTTGCTGCCACTCTTGTTGCCCCTTTGTTTACTTCAAATAATAACCGGTCCGCTGTGTCGGGTCCTTTTAGCACTCATCCTATGACCACTCGTGCTAGAATTGGTATTCATAAACCCATTGACCGTCTCAACCTTCATACCAACACAATTTCTAATCCTTCCCATCTTCCTAGAAACTATTTCGATGCTTTCCAAGACCCTAACTGGCATAATGCCATGCAAGACGAATATAATGCACTTATTTCTAATGGAACTTGGGTACTTGTACCTCGGCCTTGAAATGCTAATGTCGTTAATTGTATTTGGTTGTTTAAAAAGAAACTTAATGCAGATGGCTCTCTTGCTCGATATAAAGCACAATTGGTTGCTAATGGACGTAGCCAACGTCCCTGCATTGATTGTGATGAAACTTTTAGTCCGGTTGTTAAACCTGCTACTATTCGGACAATTCTTAGTATTGTCATCTCTCATTGCTGGCCAATTCGTCAGTTGGACGTAAAGAACGCTTTTCTTCATGGCCATTTACAAGAAATAGTTTATATGCATCATCCACCGGGTTTTCGTGATCCCTCCACTCCAGATCATGTATGCTTATTACAACGGTCTCTTTATGGTCTCAAGCAGGCTCCTCGTGCATGGTACCACATATTTGCTCAGTATATCACTCAGTTCGGCTTTAATAACAACAAATCCGATACCTCTTTATTCATATACAACAAAGGGGGTCACATAGCCTATCTTTTACTTTATGTTGATGACATTGTGTTGACTGCTTCATCTACAGGTCTCTTACAGCAGATTATCACCACCTTACGTGTCGAATTATCCATGACTGATTTGGGTGCTCTCAATTATTTTCTTGGTATATCTGTAGTTC